GGATGAAGCAACAACTTGTGGATTATGGTCTTAGTATCGATCACGTCCCTCTTCGATGTGATAATACTAGTGCCATAAGCTTGACGAAGAATCCGGTTCTTCACTCAAGGACGAAACATATTGACATTAGGCATCATTTCATTAGAGATCATGTTCTCAAAGGTGATGTCGAAATTGAGTTCGTTGAAACACACAACCAATTAGCCGACATTTTCACAAAACCTTTAGAGAAAGAGTCGTTCTTCCGCATTCGTAGTGAACTCGGAATCCTTGACTCCACGATGATCTAAGTTGTGCATTAATTATTATTTTTGGTCCTTACTAACTTGAACGTCGGAGACGTTTTTAATTCTTTTTTGCAGGGCTCTTTTTTAATTTTATTTTCAGGTGTCAAAGTCAGGGGAAACAAAGCAAATCGATTTTTTGTCTCCAGACTTGGTGTAAATCGATTTACAAGCTTGTGATAATCGACTATCACAGCCCGCTGAAATTTGGAGCAGAAACTGAAGGAGCCAGTAATCGATTATCAACATTAGGATAATCAACTATCATTGCCCGCAGAAGTTTGAAGCAAATCAGGCGCAAACCACGACAATCGATTATACGTTTTGTGTAAATCGACTATCGCAGCCTGCAGTTCCTTCGACGGAGAATCTGAAAACCTAGATAATCGATTTACAACGGTAGATTTTCAAAAATCTGACCGTTTTCTAGCCGTTTGGAGAGCAATTAATGCCTGTTTGACCACCTCTACGAATCTCCAAAGCTTCTACTCTATAAATTGGTGATATCTACTCAATATTTACTCATTCCAATCATCTCTTCTCCATATATTCATCATAATTCATCATTCTTGCTATTGTTCTTCAACTCTTAGCCAAATTTTCTGCAATTTTTCTCTACTCCCTCTCTACTTTGTTGAAATGGCAGGAGGTCAAAGAAAAAGATCCCGCACCGGCAAGAACGTGGCTTCTTCCTCGGCTCCTCCACCACCGGCGCACAAGTATCTCGACGGGTCATTCCTTTGGTTCAACGACCGCGAAGAGGCGACGCGGTTCTCGGAGAAGTTTGAGCACCGGGAGATTCTTCCTCCCCGGTTCTCCACGGGCCGCTTCATTCACGGCTCCATTCCACGCCAGGCACGGGTCATCCTCCAAGAAGGACACTTCCTCGACCTCCTCTACATCAAGAAGAACGACTACCACCCTTTTCTTGTTCGAGCTTTATATTCGAACTTGAAAAAGGATGAGGACGGAGCGTTGATTTCTAACGTCAACGAGGTGGACATCTATTTGAATGAGGAAAACATTCAAATCCTCACCGGGCTTCGTCGGGACGGACAGGATCTCGGGCTCTACGTCGGAGAAGAAGGAGCGCGGTTCAACGAGACCGCCCTCTTGGAGGAAGTGGGCATCCGAAACTTCGTCCCCACTCCCCAACAGCGGCGCCCTACGATTACTTCCATGAGTCCTGTGTTTCGATTCATTTTTTATGTTTTGACACGGATTCTCAAGCCTAGGAAGTTCAATCACACCACTCTCTCCCAGGAGGACACGAAGACAATTCATGCGATGATTCATAACGCCAATATCAATTGGTGTAAATTTGTGATGACCCACATGTTCAACGCCACCTCCGATAACCGGCCGCTCCCCTATGCTCTTCTTGTCATGGCGATCCTTGATGAGTTCCACATCAAGACGGACGTTGGGCCAAAATGCAAAGGAACGAAGCATTGGGAGATTGACGAGTCTTCCTTCCACCCGGGAACCGATGAAGCTACGTTCCCGCAGCCTCGTCCTCGCCGCCAACCGAGAGCCACTGCCTCGACTGCCGCCGCTTTGACCAATCCTTCTCTCGCCGAGCAAATGGCAGCTTTGACCACCACCCTTTCTCGGATAGACACCAACGTCTCCAAAACGGCACATAACGTCAATATTCTGAGCCGTGAGCTTCACGGGTATTTTGACTTTGTCAACTACCCCTACGCTCAAATGGTCCCTTATGTTCCTCCGCCAAACCTAGGTGGTGAACCAAGTGGGACTAACGACGTTGGAAGAGAAGAAGGGGTGAACGTTGAAGAAGAAGAAGAAGAGGAAGACGAAGAAGCTGAAGATGAAGAAGAAGAAGAAGAAGATGATGATGATGATGGTAGTGGTGATGAAGAGGAAGACGAAGACATTGACGAAGAACAGCTTCTCAATGATCTTTCACCGGACTTCTAAGAGCTCTAGCTCTATTCCCTTCTCTTCTTTATTCTTTTTATGCTTTTTAAATTTGCTTCCATTATGTACTCCGCTATATTCCCTTAATTAATTAATAAAAATCTTTATGGTTTTTGTTATTAAATCTTTTTGTTAATGTCAAAAGGGGGAAGATAACGACTATGCATATTTTCAGGGGGAATCTTCTTAATGGGGAATTTTTTTCAAAAAGATCAAAATCCTATGCATATCCCCGTCTTGTTTGCCATTATCAAAAAGGGGGAAATTGTTGGAACACACTTTGCACGTTTAACTAAAGTCGTGTTCATTTCTGACAGGTTTTGATAATTGCCAAACCGCCGTGGATATGAAGAGTTTCGTTGAATAACTCAAGGCGTGAAGAATGACATGGAACAAGACCTAAAAGACTCAAGGACAAAGATCAAGAATTGAAGACTTAGTCGAGTCGGTCTTTTGTGATCAAAACCGACAATCAATTCAAGTCTCGGTTCTCAAAGAGTCAAAATAATTTTACAAAATCATAAAATATTTTTGTGCATCAAAATAAACATTTTTGATAAATTTTTTATTGTTAAAATCCTTGGTCCTTGCTCAGAACCAAAATCACCTAAGTCGGCGTACGGTGTTCGGCATTCGGTTTTTTGGCGCCCGAAATAACTCGGTGGTTTTCTATGTTTTAAACCTTGTTTTTATCTCTGAGCATATTTAAAAGGTTCCCAAATAATTATTTCATAAAAACCACTTTTGTATCTTGGTCAATCGGTCTAACACGTGAGAAACAGTCAAAACCGTACACACGTGATTTACGACCTTGGAGACTTGGTTTTTACCAAACAAGTCTTGGTTTCACTATTTTATACCATATACAATGTTTTTCAAACTTGGTTTTTACTTTTGGGAACACTTTGTTTTTAGACCTCGGTTTTTCAAAACGGGTTTCAGCTGGCCTGACTTTAGCTGGGTGATAATCGATTATCACCTTAGTGACAATCGACTATCATCCTCTGCAGCTTTGAACTTCCAAAGTTCTGAAGCTCTCAATAATCGATTGTCACTTATGCAACAATCGATTATCAGTCTTTGCAGCCAAAACCCAGAATCTTCTGAGAGGACCAATAATCGATTATCACTTGTTGACAATCGATTATCTGGGTTACCGTTATCTTCCAACGGATAGAATTTTAAATTTTTGGACAGGGAATCTTTTGATAATCGATTATCAATCTTGGATAATCGACTATCACCCTGTGTCTCTAAAAAATTTGTCTTCATCCTGTTGGAAATTCTTGCAACGGATTTATCCCATTTTTGGGCTATAAAATGGCACCCAAATCCTCTCATTTTACACACAATTCTTCAACATTTCAATACTCTTTCATTGCATAATCATTCCTATTTTTTAAGCTATTTGAGAGCCAATTCTTGAAGAAATTGTCGTGTTCTTGAGCGTATACTAGTTCACTCATATCTACTCTTTGTGAGAGTTTTATTCCTGAGTGTTTAAGTGTTTTCATACACTTAGGGAGGTTGTTCCCTTGTTGTATACTCGAAGGAAATTCTTTGTTCCTTCGTGAGAAGTCTTGGAGTGTGGTATCTCCGAGCAAAGGCGTTGAGGCTCGTGTGACTCGAGTTCTCAAGTTGTATCGGTTTGTTGAGCACCCTTAAGCTTAACGGAGTTAGTGTAGCTCGAGAGAGTCTCTCGGGAGGCTGGATTAGCCACACGTTGTGGTGAACCAGGATAAAATTCGGTGTGCTCCTTCCTTACGCTATTTACTTTATCGCTCTCGTTTTTTATTTCCTGCGATTTTGTTTTAAACGCTATTCACCCCCCCTCTAGCGTTGGGCCTTTATTCTAACATAATCCAACAATGAAGTCTAATCATATGGGATTAAACATGTATGATGAATAGATTTGCTTTTGAGGAATTTGATCACACGATGAGAGATCTAATGAGGTTCTCTAATAAAAACTCCATAAATGAACCCTTTGGAGGGAAAACAATTGTACTCAGAGGTGATTTCAGATGAATTCTTCCTGTTTTACCTAAAACTTCAAGAGAGGAAATTGTAGGTGCTACCATTAATTCTTCAAATTTGTGGTCGTATTGTAAAGTTTATACGTTGATGAAGAATATGAGATTGCATTCATCTATGTCCTCTTACACAAATAGAGACACACAAGATTTTTCTGATTGGATAATCAAATTGGAGATGGAAAGCTTGGAGAAGTGATTGATGAAACTGTTGACGCTAAAATTCCGCTCGAATTTTGTATTCTAGACACGAGTTCTCCCCTTACAAGTATAGTGGACTTCACTTATCCAAACCTATTGGAGAATATAAAAAACTATTCCTTTTTCAAAGAAATGGCACTATTGGCACCCACGCTCAAAGTTATAGAGATGGTAAATGAATTTGTCTTATCCCTCCTTCCCAGAGATGAAATTATGTACTCGAGTTCTGATTCATCATGCCAAGCAGATTTAGATGTAGGTATTGATGGCGACTGGATAATAGTTGAGTTCTTGAATTTGATCAAATGTTCGGGGATCCCAAACCACAGGATAGTTTTTAAAAAGAGGGTACCAATTATGTTACTAAGGAACATTGACCAAGCATCTAGATTGTGTAATGATACAAGATTAATTGTTGATGAGATGAGAAAGAACGTTATTGGTGCTATTTTGGTTTTAGGAAATCAAATGGGGGAAAATTTAAATACCCTAGGCAAATTTGGTACCATCTAATACAGGACTACCCCTGAAGTTCCAGAGAAGACAATTTCCAATAGTCTTCTGTTTTGCTATGACTATCAACAAAAGTCAGGGTCAAACATTGTCATTTGTTAGATTGTTTTTAACCAAGTCGGTGTTCACTCATGGTCAGCTTTATGTTGTTGTTTCGCGAGTGAAGACAAAGACAAGATTAAAATATTAGTCCTAGATGACAATGGAAATCCTTGTAACCATAATAAAAATGTTGTATGCCTGAAGTTTTCCAGAAAATTTTGTATTGAAACAAACTTTATTGTGTTTCGCATTATATATATTCCTCAAAAATACTGCAATGAAAAATTTTAGAATGGACAAAAAATTCGTCATGTGAAAAATATATTTTCTTTATTCCAAAAAATACTGCAATGAAACATTTTAGAATGGACAAAAAATTCGTTCGACCCCATTAATAATTTTTAAAATAAACACAAGTGAATGAAAATAAAAGTATAATAATATAACATTAATCTATATTATGAAGTATATAATAGATTAAAGTATACAATATGAGTGTAAGGACATTGAATTGAGTATAAATTATTCAAACATGCAATCTTATTTAAAAAAACTAAATGCCACAAAATTTTAAATTTTTAAATTCAAACAACAAAGAGTCCAAGAATGATAAATTATAATATGTCTAACACATAAATAAAACCCAAAGAATATCAATACTCTCAAGGTCACATACTAGTTCCAGTATTAATTTTTCTTGCTTGGTTCTTCACCATCTCTATCACAATGTTCAACCTCTTTCATTCTTTTGTCAATAGTAGAGTCGGTGATATCCTCTCCTAGTCGTTCAAAGTGATAATCCTTTGATTGCACAAAATCTTCAATCAAATTCTGTATGACAAAAAACAATTCTTTAATGCAAGATACATTAATAAACAGCATCTATGGTGCGAATATATGACCTACATTTGAGGATGTTTTATTGCTTTGGGCCTGATTTGGGAGACAGCCAATGATAGTTTCATATATTTCTATACATTACTGCTTGATACGAGTAGCATTCATCTCTGGTTTCAAGTTTTCCTTGCTAACCTTAGGGATAAAGCTGATATGTATCCCAAATTTTCCTTTCTATACAGTACTGCTTGACCTAAATTTTCCTTGTTTGATACCATTAGCATTCATCTCTGAACTTTTTTCTAAAGTGAGCAAATCAAAGGTGCTAGTGTACATTTGTTCCTCTCACTTACCCATATGGCCATATGTAATGCCAAGAACATAAAAAATTGTACAAAGGTTATTTTACTTGTGCAGTTTTTTAGAGTCCTAACCTTTACACATGATGATGCATCGCCCATTGAGAAGGTATGCTGTGATGATTTTTTCCCTAGTTGAAAGTCCTAAATTCACATCAGTCTATTACCAATAAATTTCCAAAACAACATTTTATTAGCATCTTAAAAGCCATGTGTTATTCATACATAATAAAAATTTCTCTATGGGAAGGATCAAACTCATTGGGTGTGTACGACTAACACCAACTTGAAAAAGATATGATTTATCTATCAAGAGTCTATTAAAGACATCCGGTTGTATGTCTTCACCCAGCAGGTTCTGTATGAACAATTGAAATAACCATCAGTAAGTACACCAAAATCAAGAACCAACGTTATATTTCACAATGTTTTTTTCTTAGCATAACATAGACTGTAGGGCAAAAAACCAACATCAGAAGAGTTCAGACAGTGCAGAGGAGCAAAACTTTTATTATATTATAAGCCCATCTTATTCACCGCCTTAAGTTGTCATCTTATTCAGTGCCTTAAGTTGCCATCTTATTCACTGTCGTGTGTATCATTTAATTTCCGGTGCAATCAATGACATTCAAATCAAGACTAAAACACTGCATTAAATAAGAAAACAGGATAAGAAGGTATATATGAGCATATATCCCAGAAAGCCCTTCGCAACAAAGATTATACCCTAATTGATGACATTCAATCCATTGGGACAAAGATATTTTTGATGACATCCAATCCATCACTTGATGTTTCAATTGATGACATTCAATCTATCACTTGATGCCAGGAGTTCAGCCAGTGAATAAGATGGGGTAATAAGTTATTTGAATATAGTCTTTGCTAAAAAAAATCAATTGTTGATAACATATATGAGTCATCCTAATACTTGTTTATACATAAAATGAGAGGGTTAAAACTTATTTGAGTATAGTATTTCCTTAAAAAAAATCAGCTTATTACAAATCAAGATACATAAAGTCAGTTAGCGTATACTATTTGAGACCATTTATGATACAGTGGAGGTAATGATTATGTCCAACCTTTCCTTTTAAAACCTACAACACATGAAATACTTTGATACATCATGAAAATGAATGGCTCACTATGG